AAAATAAATGACCATAAATAATTATTATGTGAATTATTCTTTACGGCTGAAGAAGAAACTGGACTATTAACAGCATCCTGAGTTGGGGTTGTAGTATCAGTAGTTGTTGACGCCATTGAAGTAGTAGTAGTAATAGCAGCAACAGTTGTAGAATTCTCTTTATAAAATATTCGATTGGTTTAATATTATAAGATGCTTTTTGAAGAATAGGAACTACTAATGGACCTTGAGCAGCGGTTTGATAATATAAATCATGTTCAAGGGAAATATGACCAGTAGTTCTATTCTCGCCTACCCATTGGGTAAAATTACCTTCAACCCATGTCATTTGAAAAGTTTTATCATCAGCTGAAAGCCAATCATTTGTATCTTTATCCCAAATTACAACTTTAAACCAAAGTTGTGTACATATATTCCGTATACGATCATCATAATCACTGAATGGTGGACGCATATATAGAGGTGTGATACCAGTTACATTTTTTATAATTGTGGCAGTCCACTGTAACTCTGCAATAACCTGTTCAATAGACTGAGAAGTGAGATATGAATGTGACCATGTATGTACACCGACTTTGTGACCTTTGCAAATTTATTATAAATATTAGATAAGTTAAATATATTAAATGATATTAAAAGTTAGACATATAGATGAGATTTTTTTACCAGAACTAACAATCCTCTGCAAAATTTCAGGATTTCGACTACTCGAGAACCACAATGAAGAAAGTAATTTTGAGTTTTACCGTATTGAGATAGTCAAGTAAAGCTGTTGTAAACGTACTGATGAAAAATGAAATTATTTTATAAATTAGCGTATGCTATTTAAACCTATTTTTAACCATATCTGTATATATATTTGATATTTATGTCGGACCATCATCAAAGCTAAGACCTCAATCTAAAGTTAAATTATAGAAATTTAATATAATTTAATAAATAATTCAGATAAATAAATTTAAATCGACATTTAATATATTTAATATGAAACAATAAATTTCTTCTTACTTACCACCTACGCTTGGACACATAACAACATCAGAGTCATTGCGAACGCAACCATTACAAGGTCAATAAGTGTCTGTAGCTGGACATATATTTCCAGTTATATCAGCCATTGACTTCACGGGTGCGTTTGCAACCTTACTCATATTTACAAGTGCGGTATATTCGGTCACGTTTGGTGGAGGAACATCGAGAGCTGGCCAGCCTGTAAGCTGAGCACTCATCGATAATTGAACCAGTAAACTAAAAGTTACAAGCAAAAATATTATAAATTTCATCATAATTTAAAACCAACTTTGGATTTATTAGAAAGGTATAAAAGTCATTTAATTATCCTTTATATAATTTTACTGATCATTAATTCATAAGTGGTTTTAGCATTTCTTCGAACAATTATTACTAAGAAAAACGCATGTATACAAGTTTTGCAAGTCTTGAAACTACTATAAATAGAATAATATGAAATAATGTGAAATATTGCTAATGAATTTTAGTTCGTGCATGTATACATATGTTGTGCCTCTTTTTTTCATCTATCACTAATACCAAGAAATTATCAAAGATAAGGGGAATTCATATCTGTCCAATTGGTGTATATATTCAATATAAAACCCAATATAATCTTATAATACAAACGTAATTGTTCTGATTTCTCAGATCGATAACATTTACGTTCATTTTGAGCAATACTGTATGTCGTTCCAGATTGTTCCAAGTTTTTATCTTGTTAATCCTTACCAAATAATTTCCACGTGACAATTCAAGGCATTCGATGTTAAACTGAATCGTGAGATCAAGAATAAATGTTCAAATCTAATCAAATTTGAATAATTATTTAACGTGATCGCAAAAAAGGATGCACATACAATAATCACGCTGTCCAATGGAGTTCGAGATTTTGTACACAGTTAGTTGGCTGTAAACCATACACTTCGTTTCACTTACCTTCCTGGTATAAAGAATCTTAGCTTTATCTCAAAAATTCACTTAAGAAACAACACTTCATGCACTAACAAAAAAACTCCTCGAGTAATTTTACTTTAGTTTAGACGCTAGTCCTAACATAAACGAACTTAAACAATTTTAAACTTCCCCAGGATCGCCACCAAAATACTAATAAAAATTTTTCGATCACGTGAAAATTATCTAATAACAAATCACGCCTTGGTACGATCAAAACAAAACGTTCGTTTTCAAAAAATCTTTTTTACTTTTTCATGCTCTAACAAAACAATTCCTTGGATAGTTTTACAATATGCTACACCTTTCTAACCCTAAATCTAACATTAATTCTAACATAAACGAACTCTAAAGAATTTTGTCGATATCACGTGATCGAAAAATTTTGGTGGCGGAAGATAGCGATGATCACAATATCACGTGCAATCATTCGGCCCTAGATCAGGGTTAGTTTAGAGTTATGGTAAGGGTATAGTTTAGGCCAATCTATTTAAACAAATGACGTCTTGATATGTTTATCATGCGATCGTTGATCACTGGGCTAATTGTTCTTCAAGTGTCCCGATTTAATTTGTAGTATTTTTTTTAAAAGAAATTCCCATTCAATTATAGTTGGACGTTTTTGAATATTTTATGTTTTAAATATTATGAATTAAGAGTCATTAATATTACGAACTTGATATGTTGAGTTCATCTGCAGTAAAGGTCCAGACTTTTTTGATATAATTAGATGCTTAGGCCACGCAAAGTAAATTTTTGTTTTGCATTACACGGATCTGAAAATTGGGTCGGTCAGATTTTTTTTTTTTTTTACTGATCCCATATCGGATAATGTTGTGAAACTAAGGTCTCCGTTGTGTGAAACAGGTTAAAATGACTGAAGAAAAATTACGAATAATTGGCTTAAAAAATTAGGGTAGCTGCGCGATGTGGTCACGCTAAAACCAGGAACGTGTAATACAATTAGATATTTTTGAAATATATCATGTTTTCAATATTTTAGGCTTTAATTATTATTTTTCAAATTTATAAAATGACGAAAGCACATAAAAATGACAAAAGAAGCACCCAAAAAATGACAAAAGTAGCACACAAAAAATGACGAAAGAAGCAACTGAAAAATGACAAAAGAAGCATCAAAAGAAGCACTGAAAAATGATAAAAGAAGTACCTGAAAAATGGCAAAAGAAGAACCAAAAAAACAATGAAA